TTTTTTTTCCCTTTTTTTTTTTTTTTTTTTTTTTCAGTCGGGGCCCTCTGGAAAACAGGATGGGCTCAGTTTAATTTGAGACTGAGGCTTTCTGCCTGGGTTATATTGCTTTAGTAGTATGATTTTAAAGCCCCTGTATCTTAGTAGTCCCAAACTTACATAACACCTTGAAAACAGTTAATTGTGGCGGAAGTTCCACTGGGCTAAATTGTCTTTGTGTTAGTATAGCTTTTTAGCAATTCTGGACTGAGGACATTATTGAACTACCTATTTGATGTATCACATAAGGTATCTTCTTTCCTCACGCTCATATTCATAGTGGGGATCATATATCCTGCTGCACAGAGGTGGTACCATTTGCCCCAAACATGGTCCCATATGCTTAGAGATGGGCTTACCTTGCCATATGTCTTAAATTTAGCCTCATAACACCCTGTGATGCAATGTAGTGACATTGGCCACATTAGCCCCATTTTAAAGGACTGTCTCACAAAAGCAGAGCTCAAGGAGACATAGGATGCTTGTTGCAAACTGGGATTCTGGTTCCTTGATGGTAGAGGTTTTTTCCCTACTCCTTGGTCTGTATGTTTTGTTGCACAAAACAAAGCCTCAGTCTCCATTTTGTAGGTTTAAAACATCAAAGTTTAGCCCTCACTTCTGTCCCTGGTAGCTTTGAACTGTGAGGTAGGTCCAAATTCAAAACATCTGCTACTGAAATTGGCCTTATGGCTTCATGGCCTGTGTCCCAAAATGGCCATAACACAGCCTTCCTTGCCTGACTTCTTCTCTTGTAAGTAGAAGTCTTATAGAAGTGAGACTAGCATTTATTACATTTAATATAATAATTAATATAATAACATATATAATAGCAAGCAAGCTCAATGCAGCAGAGTTTCTATCAGAGTTTTGCCTGTGGGCTGTACTATGAGTTGCAGACCAGCAGGCACTTTGGCCAAGGCTGTGAAGGAACCTGAACTGGCGTTGTCGGCTGCTTTCACAACAGAGCCCAGCCTTTCTTCGAGTGGCTGCTGAGCTCCCTGAGAGCTATTCAATCTGCTCTTCCTCCCAGTGAAAGGCTGTGGCTGCTTCCCAAGCCCCTCAGCCATCCAGCAAAGACCGTCAACTACTTTCTGCTACAGAGAATCAACTGAATGGGCTCAGAAATAAACTTTCACGGTGAGATCAGATCTCATCCTTTTTCTGCACCGGCTGGCGCAGGCTTCTGTAATTAAGTGTTTGTATTGTGGCAGCACCTGGGGGTCCCAGACAAGGACCCCCTTGTGCGAGGCTGCGAAGAGAAATAAAGAAATGAACCCTGGCCTCGAGTGCTCGCAGCACTGGAGGGTCTGACACAAGTAGGTCAGCGGCAAAGGGGGAGGGATGAGGAGGTTTGCGGGAATGCTGAGCCACTTCACTGTGATTTAATTATTTGGGTTAGTGGCCTGAATGGGTAATGAGCTGCGGATAGGGTGTTTAATGTGGAAAGCTGCCCCAGCTGAATAATGTGGGGTTAATATGGTCTCTGCAGCATACGAGGGAGAGGATGAAGCCTGGCAGAAGAACTGCATCGTTCACACCTCATCCTGGAGTCCCTGCTCAAAGACCTGCGGGCTGGGCATCTCTACCAGGATTTCCAATGATAATGACCAGTGCCGGCTCCTGAAGGAAAGCCGCCTGTGCAACATGCGGCCCTGTGAGGTGGATATAACCAAGCACATTAAGGTGGGCACTGTTTCTCTACGTGCCCCTTGAGCTTTGCCTGGACATGATGTCAGCCTTTCTTTGGCAGCATTCAGACTTCTGAGGGCTGCACTTCTGATCTTGGAGGCTGTTAGAGAGCACACATGGACTCACTGTGCTGCAGAGAGGTCAAAAATGTGTGCTTCCTGTGCTTCCACACACTGGTATGAAAACCTTTCCCTGAGAGCTTTAATTCCAGCCAAAAGGTCCTTGAAAGGAAAGGCAAGCCAAGTCCACTGTGCTCACTGTTGGTTCAGACAGACCTGTGACTCAGTTAGTGGAAAAACAACGGTGCACTACTGTCGTGGCTATGAACTGCATTTTGCAAGTATCCTGCTTGCACCTTCTGGCTTTGTATGTCTAAACATGTAAATCTGTCACACCCTCTACATCAGGGCTGTAAAATGCTTCCTAACAGCTTTAAAATCCTTCAAATATCAGGAAGATTGTTTGCATGTCCTACCTGTGTCAGCAGTTAATATTAACCTGTCTCTTTTTCTGTTCTTCTCTGATTTAGCCTGGAAAGAAGTGCTTGGCTGTCTACAGGGCCAATGAACCAATGAACTACACCATCTCAGGATGTGTGAGCAAAAGTCCATATAGACCCAAATACTGTGGCGTTTGCACAGACAACAGGTGCTGCACACCCTACAAGTCCAAGACTATTGAAGTGAGGTTTGAGTGCCCAGATGGAACTGAGTTTTCCTGGAAAATCATGTGGATCAATGCTTGTTTTTGCAACCTGAACTGCAAGAACCCCAATGACATCTTTGCCGACTTGGCTCATTACCATGATTACTCTGAGATCGCTAATTAAATTGGCTGAATGTTGGAATTGACCCATTGCTCTGATTTTACAGAGGTTTTAAAATAAAAGGAGAATCTTTCACCCACTGCCAATGTACAATTTGTTTTTTCCTGAGTTAGGATGTTAAATCTCCTTGTTTTGCCACACTGGTTTTGGAGAGGCCTTGAACAAGCAGGGTTTTCAACTCTAATATAACTCCATCCATTAACGACAGCCAGAAATTCCTCTATGCACAGATTCCAGGACTTAAATGACAGTCCTGTTGGCACTGCCGTTTATTAGGCCAGCAGTTTAATTGCCCAAGTGAAAGAATAGTACACTAGTATGACAGCAAAAATATGGCTGTCAGTAGCTTAGACATGAGCTTCAGACATTGTTATTGTCATTTCTTGAATAATGTGGTCTAAGCTGGAAAATGAGCGTTGGTCTATATATTTTACTTTCAACATTAGACTTCAGTCTTTGATGCTGGAGACCCTCAGGACTAGACTCAGGTCTCTGTCACACTAAGATCAGTCCTAGAAACTCTCCCTCTGTCATTGTCAGTCAGATCCCACCCCATGGTGAAATTCATGGGAAGAACCAAGGGTTTCTCTTGAAATCTCTGTTTAAGGAGTCCCTGTCTCACTGCACTAGGCTGGGTCAAAGATCCTTTGTGTTCTGCTCTCCTTGGACTCACCTCGATCTCTTGGAGTATCTTGCGCCAGGGGCATTTTCACAGTTTCTCTGCCAGCTCTGATCTTGAGCACCCTGAATGCTCTGAATCCAAAATGGCCACCCCAAAGCTCATATTTTCAGAATAGATCCTCTTGTCCATGGATTACGTATTGTTCCTATCTTAGCTCTGCAGAGCTGAAGGGTGAAATGTAAAGAGCCAGATGAGAGACGAAGGACAATACCTCATGTGCCCATTTATTCACATAGAAATGGTGTGGTCTGTGCCTGGGGACCACGACCTCCTCCTCCCCATGGTGTTACCAGCACGCAGGTCCTGCTTCCCACTGCTACCTTGCCAGTGACACATACCTTTGTTTTACATGGCTGGGATAGAGGAAAGGAGACGTGGTAAACGAGAAAACAGGTATCAGGCTTCCCAGCAGCTCTGTGGATGAGTAGATGCAAAAGGAGAGGACAACCCTTGGCATAGCTTCTGGTGCATCAGTCACAACTGGGCTGCTGCTTAGAGTAAACATCAATGTAAACATTTTCTGCAGAAGTGATTTCACATGCAAATGTCAGCTAACAGAAGAAAAAACCTGTCATTACCTTTCCAGGCAATACATTTATCATCACTGAAGGATGAGGGAGTCAGTTTTTTCTCCAATAAATTGTTAGCACAGCACCTATGCACCATGGCACATACACTGTTGCTTAACTTGGGAGAGCAGAAATGTGTTTCTCCATGGGCAGCTGTAGTATCTGCTTCCAAAATCCCTGGTGGCACAGCGGAACTGCTGAGTGACACATGGTCTGGAGATTGGACCAGTACAGGGCTGAACTTTGGATGATGCAACTGTTTTAAACCAGTCACTTATTTTGCTTTAGTTTCAGTTGGCAAGTTATCTGTCTTCATCTTGATAACCCAGAGAAAGGTAGATGAGTTCCCAGGAGACATAAATCTTTCTGGCTATGGCAAATTAAAGTTTCTTGTGAGCAGGCTGAAAATAATGCAATCCCTATGTAAAAACATCTAGGAGAAATGTTGTGTATCTTCAAGAGCTGTTAACTTCAATAGCATCTTTGTATACAAGGATTTGGCCCATAAATTTTTCATAGAGCTAGGCCATTCCTTAATTCAAAGCTTTTACTATTTCTTTTTTGAAGTTTCCCTGAAATCTCCAGTGGCAGAAAAAAAGGGTGATCCCTGTCTGCATGTTCCAGTGCAGGTGCAAAGTGCCTCTCCCGTTTGTTCCTCTGGTGATAAGGAACCTGAGGACACCAGCACTTTGCAAGGTTCAGCCTCATGACTGCCTTTGACCTGGATGATGTGACAGGAGAGGTCACATCTGACCTATCCTCCTCAACCCAAATGGGACCTCAGCACTTGCAAGACTGAGAATGTTAAATTTTAAACTCCATCACTTGGGAAAAAAAGACCATGGGAACATAAGAAAAAGAGGCCTTAGCCGAGAAGTTGATGATGGTTTTCTAAAACGGAAAATGGTTTGTATTGAGGCATTTGGTAGGGAAGCCATCCTAGGATCCCTTTCTCAATAAGATCCCTTAAGTATGGCTTGGAATCCTGTGTTCTAGTTCTGGCCCACCTTAAAATACCATGTAGGTATGTGTGTATACCCCCCCATATATCTATACGTATGTATACATGCATATGTATATATGCGTATATGCATATATAGAAAACATTACGTGCATGCATTTATATAATATTGTATATAATATTATATATAAAAACATATATGAACATGTCCATGAATATATATGTTTATATTTGCATATATTCCTATGGTGCAGTCTGCAGTGCATAAAATAGAGTGCATATGTAATGCAGGTTTATATGTACAATCATTCTTTCTCTGTCTTACATGTACACATAAGGAAACAAGAAAACAGGATCAAAAGACATACCCAGAACTGTGGCACTTAATAGGCTTGTTTTGCCTTGCAATTAGCTAACGCTGTAACCACCGTAATCAAATGCTGCCATGGCTGAAACACACAGCTTTCATTGCGAGATAAAAGAAGCTATTGTAATCTAATGCATGACCAGCAGCTCCAGTGAGTGTCGGTTTTCAGTGAAGTGAATGCCTGGAAACCACAGATCTCGCCCAGCGCGCCCAAGATGTTTCTGTTTCTAGCCTGGTTTCCTAAGGGAACAAGGCATATGCAACCATGCCATCCATTTGTTTGTCTGTCAGTCAGTGGCTTATGTGGGAAACGTCAAAGTAGGCGGAAGAGTAAAGATCTCAGAAACATTGCAATTCCTCAAATAGAAAATGAAATAAAATAGCGGGACAGGGGAGAGGCCCACCAAATTGCTCCTACCAAGCCCATGCACATCTGCCATGCAGCCAACACGTCTGCAGTGTGGCCCAACCACAACAGCAGCATTAAGGGATTTTGAACAGATGTACCGGTTGGAAACAAGCAGCAATGGAGGAGGGAGAGCTGAAGGCGTCACAGATGTGGAATAGCGGTTATTACACTGCTGTAAAGGAGTTTCTGGGGGCATGGGACACAAGTCTATAGGAAACCAAGCCTCATTAGCTCTGCTGCTTGTGCAACTGCTTGTCTGTCTGGTGACACTGAAAGGGGAAGAGCAACACTTGTAGCTAGTGAACCTGACTTGCAGTTTGTAGTGCATTAGAGATCCTTTGCTGTAACGGATGTTTACCAGAAGATTAGCCCTAGGACTAAGGCAATGGGCTAGCCTTTAGCTTCGGTTCCCTGGCTCCTTGGGTGCTTGGGCAAATCATCAAATCATCAGATCAAAGGTACAAAAGTACCTTTATGATTACTGTTTAACTGCATTAAGGAGCTAGATCCTCAAAGGCTTTCATGGATCCTGCCCTTTGCTTCACTTTTCCTCAGTTCTTCAGAGCCAGAACAACAAAGCCCTACTGTTCCTCGCCTCTGTTGAGAGTAAAAACTCCTCCAGCAGTAACTGATGCTCACTGTATGTTTGTACAGTGCCTCATACAATGGGCCCAGGTCTCTGCTGGGACCTGAAAGTGGTACCATCATCCTAGCAACCAACAATGACACCATTGAGGAGACACCAGGCTCCGAGCTGGTGCTAGACCCCTCTGGTGCAGCAGTCCAGGGAAAGGCTTGAGAAAGGATGGGAGTGACAATTTTGCAATGCAGGCTAAGCTGAGAAAGTTTGACACACACCCTGCTCATGTAAATCATCTTGTTGGTCTTGTAGTCTGGGACAAGGACGGAGGATGGGATTTTGAGGGTCAGCTCATGCCTATATGGATGGCAGGCTCCAGCTAGCTCCAGTGACCATAGCTGTTAGCCCTCTGTAGGGCTTTACCAGAGTCAGTACGGTGGCTCAAGCTGCCTTGTTTGGGAACCTCAGAAAGCAGGATAGCCACTCACTGTGGGATGAAAAGAAGCAAGAATGACTTACAAAGATGCCTTTACATTGAGCATTGGCTAGTATTTAAAACACCATTTCAGCGTGCATGCAACTGGAAATAGGGTGTAGTGCGGTTGCTTTATTTTTGATGCGCTCACCAGGATTGTGCTGTGTATATGTAATACTCCAGGAAGACTTCAGAAACATTGTGTCATCTTGTAAATTAAAGCCTGAGATTTTTTTTTTCTCCCAGTTTTTTGAAGGAGTTTTAAGACAAGCAGTTTATTAAACTGATGGAGACAGAGTGTTCTCATTAACCACAGGCACATATCCATACATATACCTTTTCAAACGGTGACTTTCCAATTTAAACGGTTCTACAGAGTTATTTCTGTAAGCTTCATATGCTGAAATATATGAAAAATTAATGGTAAAACCAGATTGGTTTGGCAGTGTCAGTCTGAGTTACACCAACTATGTAACATGTATTACTTGTTCGTACAGCATCATGGTGAGGTTTTATAGGTGGCATGCTGCTGCTATGGTTTAAAGATATTAAATAACCTTATGAGTGGTAAATGATTAATGAATCTATGACTGACACCTCATTTAGAAGCTTAGGAAAGAAAAAGAAGGTGAAATATGTTTGCCACTGACATTTCTTTTCCAATCTCCTCGCCTGGCCAATGTCCAAGTGTGCATTTGTGATGTGTGACAAAGCTCTGAACTGGAGGACACATAAAAACAAAAATAAAGAGCCAGCCATGTGGTAAAAAAGGATGCTCTGAGAGCATTTCCTTAAGTATGACTATTTTGGCAGCTTGGGAAAACCAGGTGTTCCCCAACTCACATGTCCTTGTTTGCTGGTCTGTTTCTGGCTCTAGGGTTTGGGTTTTTTTCCCCGGCACTCTTACTGGACTTGGTATAGCCTGTCTAGAGTCTTTGAGCAAAGTGGAGTGTGTTACTCAGCCTGCATAAGCATGTCTTCTTCATCAGCTCTCTTGAGAGATTGCAGGAGTAACCTGTTTGCAGCAGC